TTCTGTGTTTCATCCTTTACCTGTATACACAAACCGAACGGTGCATGCGGGTAGGATTGGGAATCATCCAGATAACAGTACTTTTCAAATAGCAGTAATTTCCTAGCAAAATTGCCGACATTTTTTCCCAAAGTTTGCTAGAAAAGCAAGCGGCTACTGGTTTTCATTCCCTGTCGCTTCATGTATCACGGCAGTTACAATTTACCACTGAAATAAGCCATGGACGAATTAAAATTTGTTTCATTGGTAAATTTGAACCAGCAGCACCTCTCTGAGAGTTGCTGCGTTACTTTCCTTTGTTGTAACAAACCTCTAAGCTTTCCTGATTTAAAAAAAAAAAAAGAAAATGATAAATTTTCAGGCATGGGCTTTTTCATGATTGCTACACAACTTTGCTATACAGGAATCAGTTGCGCGATAAATCGATCGATGAGTTGGCTCGATGTTTGGTTTTAAAATATGATGACACACGCTGATCGACGCTGATCATATTTTGTGATACTGCATCTTTTTTTGATGTACATAGAAAAGTGACCAAATATTGCCAACTTCATTCAGAATATCAAAATGCAATTCTGCATCAGGGACCAACTAATTTTTTTTTTTTTTTTTTTTGCACGATTCTTCTCCATGTATTTTTTAATGATAAATTGTATTGACGCATGTCGAGGAGAAGCCAGCGCCACTATAAAAGATGCTCGTTTTGTGCTGTTTTTGACACTAGCATACCTTTTATAGGTAAATTTTTTTTTAGTGGATCGATACATTCCTATTCGTCTTATTATTTTTTGATATTTTTTAAATGTGTCATCAGCAGTACTTCATATCAGCTTGCTTAGCAGGAGCAGTGAAAAAAGAATCATTTCAGCAAATTACTTGAAAATTGAAAAAAATTGAAATTGGAATCGAAAATCGAAATTGAAAAAAATTAAGATGCATGCCAGGAAAATCGTATTGTGCTCTCTGTCTGATCTTAACACATATGTTGATCTGCCATGCTTATTCTGCATTTAATCATGTGCTAACAGCTGTTAATTGTTGGCAATTTTAATGTTGCATAAATTGTTGTTTGAGAGGAATTATTTGGAAATATTAGTAACAAGTTAAAATTGTCTTGATATTATTGATAATCTTTTATCAATATTGATATATTGTCGATGTTCGCGGCGAGCAACCCTTCCAAATTAACACATACAAAAGTTGAGGCTCAGGAAAAAATCGCAGGATCTGTTAAATGATGATTATGTGCCTCCACAGAGTTATATTTTGAGAGTTGTATTTTGGACTTGGAATGGTTTTTTCTCTGTCAAGGGGTCTCTCTTGTATAGTGATTTAAAATACGGGTAAGTCCAAAAATCAGCTTCTGGGATGCGCACCTCCAGTTCCGAGGATAGTCGTCTTGAGTTTTTAGAATAATCATTTGTGGAGTTTTCTGTTTTTTTCTGGGGCAATTTTACTACAAAACTAGCCTTCAGAATTTTTGTACGGTGGGTTGGAAGATGGGACATGGTTGGGGGATGGTGGTTAGTGGGTGCCCAGATGCCGTTCTGGAGGCAAAATTTGGGGAACAGGATAGAGCGGGGAACAATGGTACTAGTCGGGAGTTCGAAGCAAGAATTGGAGCAACAGTAAGGCGGAAAAGACGACGCAGCACTACAAAGAAAAGTAAAGCAAACCCAATCTTATGAAAAAAAGCGGGAAAAACCGAAAAAGAAGCGAACCTATTAATACAAGCAAAAAAAAAGCAAATAAAAGATGAGCTTGTGCGATGGAAATTGTCTTCCAAAAACCCGTTTTCGATAGGGGCCTAGCCTCTTTATGAAGTCGATGCTTAGATGAATCCGAGCGCGAATAGATCCGATTGGATTTGCGCAAAAATTCCACGCAATTTTGGTAGCCTCTGCTTTTTTGCCTCCAAAATCTCACAGAAGCAAAGACTGACTTCTGCCCACGCATACAGTGCGCCTTTCTTTTTCCTGACTTCGTATCGTAGAATAGTACTTATTCTTTGTTAGCTTTATCTAAGCATCAGCTTCATAAATAAGGGAGCCCCCTACTGAAGGCGGGTTTTTATAGGGCAGTTTTCGCTCGTACAATCCCAGCTTTTTACTTTTATTGCTAGGCTTTGGTTTTGCTTTAATTTACTTTTCATTGTACTCCTGTGTTGTCTCTGTCTACTGCAGCCTCCAGTTCTTGCCTGGAGTTCCTGACTTATATTTTTGGGCCCTTTCTCTACGCGGTCCCCAAATCCTGCCTGTAAAGCAACAACTGGGCTCTGCTCCACCCTACTATAAGAGTACTCTGCAAGCAAACAATAGTCTAGCCCTTTCCCTACCCCGGGTATCCGCTACGAAAATATGGCGCCGACCGAGCCGAAGTTTAGTGTTGACGTTAATTGCTTGTTTGAATTACTTACGTTATATTGATGAATTAATCCCGCAAAATTTTGACTGTTTTATGCTTGTGATACTTCGGCATATGGGGCACCCAGAATTCTTGATGTTTTGCAACTAGCAACTATTTCTCATTTGCATTGACCAATGCTGCATCGCCTGTTGGAATAGGCGAATTCAGGGCGGTTTCTTGGGAGGGGCGATAGGATATGATTCAGTTCTGCTGCCTGAAGAGGCCACCAATGAGGTGAAGGAGCCCCATGGTACGCCTATACAGTATCGTTTGGACTCGGAAAGCGCATTAACGAATCGATGGCGTGACAACGGACCTCGATGACGTATAGCTGCTCAAGTATTCAAATACCTGTACCGCTGAGAACGGGGGAGGGGAGAAGGGGGTTACAAAACATCCATCCCCTCCTCCCCTCCATCCCCCACGCCTCCCTGTATCCGCCAATACCTATTGGTCAGCCTCTGGTGGTTATCTTGACGCTTGGTTTATCTAATTTGTCACCTGAATAGTTTTTTTTTTTTTTGGCAAAAGTATCCAGCAAAGCTCTACCAGTCTTGACCACTGACCACTGACGCATTGACGCATGCATTTCTCTTTAGTATCAGCATTTTGTCCGGATTTTCTCAGTAGATTACGATGAATTAAAATCTGTTGAGAGTTTCCGTTTTCGTTTCCCTGAGGCCAGATTGCGTGGGTACAAAACCCAGGCTGGAACGCACCAGGCGGGCCGGAGCGATTATGCGTTTTTGCACTTTTCGTACCGTAGC